TATGAGACTGTGGCAGATACAGAAATAAACATAAGCTAGGAAGGTAGAAATAGCAATTCCAAAACAAAGATTCCTCGACAATAAGTGCTTCAATGTACACATGTGTCATCATGTATGTGAATGCATAAGGAAGATGGGTTAAGAAGAGTGGATTGTGGAAAAAGCATAACCAAATATTCAGGAATAAAACTATTTCTTGCTTGAGAAAAATAAGTAGACAGACTTTAATAATAACTCAGAGATTATCCATGAATTACATTAACTTCTAAAATTATATTGTGTAAATTCCCCTTTAACGACTGGATACATTTCAATGTGGAAATTTATTAGAGCTTCTAATACAATATATAACTGTCACACCCTCTCAGAGGAATTAAAAAAAATTCAAAGTTACTTTACAAACTCTGTAAGTATAATGTTTACCTTTATATTTACCTTGGGAAAATGCAGCATTGATTTTCACTTAAAAAGTCTACCTCCTTTAAAACTGATTTTATTCTGATTATTAACTTAGATAAAATGGCTTCTCAATTCTGTAAATCCAAAATTCAAAGTTTGTAAGGAAGGTGGAGCCAGAAATACCAACAGGTTGACTAGAATAGAAAAAGTAATCTTATACTTGACTTCGTGTGAACAATCAGCAAATGTGTACCACCACTGACTGCACTCAACTACGTTATTGCTATAAGACATTCTCTGTGAATTCTTCCCCAGAGACAGCCTTACTCACACCCTTTTTGAAAGATCTATGGGTCTGTCAGTCCACATCAGTAACCACAGAGGGCTTTCTAACTTCAGTTAGATTTTGGCTGTTCATTTCAAAGAAAACCAAAACTAAAACCAGTTAGAAAGACTAAAAGACGAACATATTTTGATGAAGATCTATGTAATAATACCCATGTATACTAACAAATACATGAATCCCAAAATGTTTACCTCTGCCAGCAAGAACATGACTTCTAGAGGGAAATATAGAGCTCCTATTTAATCACACCTATGATTAGTTTTGGAACATAACTGATGTACTAAGAATTCTGCTAAAAATTGTTTAAATATTTATTATAGCATTAAGTACTTTTTCCTGAAAAATAAAAAGGGTATAAATTTAATTTAGTTTATGCATGCATGTAGGTATGCGCACATTTATGTGTAAAATTTAGAAGTGTAAGAGAAAAATGCTCATGAGTTGTGGTTAATATTAACATCAATGCTATCTTTGAATTTCATGAAAATTTATTATCACTAATGTTAATTCTATAACTTGCTTTTCTCTTTCAAAATTGTTTGTAATAGTAATCAGGAACTTTATAGGTAAATTATACTTCCTTTATATTGCCTATATTATTGAATTTATACTATTAGTAGGAGTTAAGCTGTTTCTAATGCTTAGCTATGATGAACAATATGGATATGTATATAAACAGTATATATGACACCTAGTGCACAGATATGAGAGTTCTTTAATGGTACTTGCCATTACCTGACTCCTAAAGTAGTATATAAAATTACTGACATCAAGTTTTTAAGTGAAAGAAAAGCTTGAGGCCAACACAAATTGAAAACATATACATTAAAGCTTTTATTTCTGTTCTAAAATATGTATATGCAAGAGTGCAAGATCACACTGTAAATTTCACATGTTATGTATCACCACAAAAATCTGCAAGCCACTACCCTGCTCCCCCAAGTAGAGGTGGAACTGATGAACCAAAGGACTAGAATGTCACTGAGCTCATTAGAAGACATTAAAGTGCTTTTAAATGGTATGCAAATATATACTTCGACCCCCATTATATACCCAAAGCCTATGTAACACCGAAACTGTCATC